TTTTTTTTTTAATTTAGCATGGTAAATATGTGTTGTGTTCAGCTATTTCTATGAGACTTATTCTAAATTAAAGCTCAAAGCTTTCTCTTTAAAATGACGTATAATAATTCTTGGGTTGGATTGGAAAAATATTGAGAAAAAAAATGTTGAAACAAAACTTACATTTTTGTATAACCTAAAAGTGTCAAAAAAAAAGCTAATTTAAAAATTCCTGGAAGCCGTATTTATTGAAATTAAGGAATAAGACTTGTTCTAAATTAAAGCTCAAAGCTTTCTCTTTAAAATAGTGTATAATAATTGTTGGGTTGGATTGGAAAAATATTGAGAAAAAAAATGTTGAAACAAAACTTACATTTTCGTATATCCTAAAAGTGTCAAAAAAGATGCTAATTTAAAAATTCCTGGAAGCTGTATTTATTGAAATTAAAGAATAAGACTTATTCTAAATTAAAGCTCAAAGCTTTGTCTTTAAAATGATGTATAAAAATTGTTGGGTTAAATTGGAAAAATATTGAGAAAAAAAATGTTGAAATAAACTTACATTTTCGTATAACCTAAAAGTGTTAAAAAAGAAGATAAATTAAAAATTCCTGGAAGCCGTGTTTATTAAAATTAAGGAATAAGACTTATTCTAAATTAAAGCTCAAAGTTTTCTCTTTAAAATGATGTATAAAAATTGTTGGGTTGGATTGGAAAAATATTGAGAAAAAAAACGTTGAAATAAAACTTACATTTTCGTATAACCTAAAAGTGTTAAAAAAGATACTAATTTAAAAATTCCTGGAAGCCGTATTTATTGAAATTAAAGAATGAGACTTGTTCTAAATTAAAGCTCAAAGCTTTCTCTTTAAAATGATTTATAATAAATGTTGGGTTGGATTGGAAAAATATTGGAAAAAAAAATGTTGAAATAAAACTTACATTTTCGTATAACCTAAAAGTGTCAAAAAAGTTGCTAATTTAAAAATTCCTGGAANATTGTCGATTATTTCAAAAATTTATTTCTCAAGAACTAAAAGTGATTTTTCAAAACGGCTTTTTGCATTAAAAAGAGGATACTTTAATTAATAACTGGTGATATTTCCACAAAGATCCTTCAAGAAATGAATTTTATAGCGAATTTTGAAGATTATCGATGATAATTGCAACATCGAAAATTTTATCAAAACTTCAAATATTGTTTTCTCAAAAACCAAAAGTTATTTTTCAAAACGTGTTAGTTCATTGGAAAGAGAACACTCTTATTAACACATTGGGAAATTTTCATACTCATATTTCAAGAAATCGATTTTTTACGAATTTTTAAAACTTAATCGGCGAAAATTGCAAAATTCGATTATTTCAAAAATTTATTTCTCAAAAACTAAAAATGATTTTTCAAAACGGCTTTTTGCATTAAAAAGAGAATACTATAATTAATAATTGGTGATATTTCCACAATAATCCTTCAAGAAATTAATTTTATAGCGAATTTTGAAAATTATCGATAAAAATTGCAACATCGAATATTTTATCAAAAATTCAAATATTGTTTTCTCAAAAACTAAAAGTTATTTTTCAAAACGGGTTGGTTCATTGGAAATAGGACACTTTTATTAACAATTTGGGAAATTTTCATACTCATATTTCAAGAAATCGATTTTTTACGAATTTTTAGAACTTAATCGGCGAAAATGGCAAAATTCGAAAAAATCTTTCAACAATTTATTTCTCAAAAACTAAAAATGATTTTTCAAAACGGCTTTTTGCATTAAAAAGAGTATACTTTAATTAATAATTGGTGATATTTCCACAAGAATCCTTCAAGAAATTAATTTTATAGCGAATTTTGAAAATTATTGATAAAAATTACAACATCGAAAATTCTATCAAAACTTCAAATATCGTTTTCTCAAAAAACAAAAGTTATTTTTCAAAACGTATTGGTTCATTGGAAAGAGCACACTTTTATTAACATTTTGGGAAATTTTCACACCCATATATTCGATGCATATATCACATCATCGAGTGCGGGAAGTTAGCCCCCATTTTTTGATTTTTAAATTTTTCATTGTTGTTCTAATTGTTCTAGAGGTGTTCTACATTATTCCAAAGCGGTAAAAAGAAAAAATATAAGCTCGGCGAGAAAAACTGAAAAATTTTGAAATAATCAGATTTTCTTTGTTGTTCTGGTTGTTCTAGTTATTATTCTAGAAAATCAAAATGGCTTAATATTAAGCTAGCAGGACACATTCTGAAATTGATCTGGCTGAGCATCGATAAACATCGCATTCCTAGTGGTTTTAATCTGCTTACCTTGAGTCTCACACTTTCTAAAGTATCAATCCATAGGCAGAGTGTGTTCTGGAACTCTTTTCATATTTTAATGAGTCATCTTTCTTCTATTACCAGTCTGTTTTTAGTGTTTCACCTTTCTGCCCAACCTTTTTTTACCATTTACAGTCTCTCTTCTCTATCATTTTTGCATTACCAACTTCTTATCAATCTTACTTCTTTCTGCCCATTCCTATTGTTGTGTATGTAGGTAATTTGTAGTACATTCGTTTAGCAGTTAGATTGTATGACATTCTCCTGAACTGAAACATTCTTCCCAGTATTTTTTTTACTACTTACATTCTTACTCGGACTAGCGTCTGGCTGATTTGGAAGTTCCAGAACGTTTGGAATCTCTGAAATCGTTATGTTCGGAAATGTTTGATTTGGACTCTGGAATCACCGAATGTGTCTTTAGTGGATTTCCTATCCACATCTATCTCATACTGCAGTTGACCCTCTCGCTTGCTGATCCTTCTCGTTTTCCATTTCATATCCGGATTGTTATAAAATTGTGTAAATACTTGGTCTCCTTCATGCATGGCGCAATTTAGTAACGAGATGAAGAATGACATGTGCGGATCACTGGTTTAGCCCAATTGTGTATAGAAAATATTGAAAATAACTTGGAACACGTGGTTTGATGTCATTTTAAAATCTTATATGTATTCTTGATTTGAAAATAAATTTCATGTATATTTAGGAAACTAAAAAACTTTTGCTACAATTGTTTTCACCAAATAATGGAATAAATCTCCAAGTTCATGCGTATAGGTTGAGAATCACCCTGTATAATTCACTTTCACAGCAGGATTTTGAATTTCTTTACTATCCTATTTTGCCGTACTTTGCTAAAATAGCCCGTACAAATTACGAATGTAAATGTGAGTTAACCCAAGGATGTTTGCATTTTTCGCAGATGAAATTGCAATCTGTGTCAGTTCTTTTTAAGTTTAGCATGGTAATGAGCAATTGACGCACCTTCATGTTGAATGCACACTGTAAATATGTGTTGTGTTCAGCTATTTCTATGAGACTTATTCTAAATTAAAGCTCAAAGCTTTCTATTTAAAATGATGTATAATAATTGTTGGGTTGGATTGGAAAAATATTGACAAAAAAAATGTTGAAAGAAAACATACATTTTTGTATAACCTAAAAGTGTCAAAAAAGATGCTAATTTAAAAATTCCTGGAAGCCGTGTTTATTGCAATTAGGGAATGAGACTTGTTCTAAATTAAAGCTCAAAGCTTTCTCTTTAAAATGATGTATAATAATTTATGGGTTGAATTGGAAAAATATTGAGAAAAAGAATGTTGAAATAAAACTTATATTTTCATATAACCTAAAAGTGTCAAAAAAAGATGCTAATTTAAAAATTCCTGGAAGCCGTATTTATTGAAATTAAAGAATGAGATTTGTTCTAAATTAAAGCTCAAAGCTTTCTCTTTAAAATGATGTATAATAATTGTTGGGTTGATTTGGAAAAATATTGAGAAAAAAATGTTGAAATAAAACTTACATTCTCGTATAACCTAAAAGTGTCAAAAAAGATGCTAATTTAAAAATTCCTGGAAGCCGTATTTATTGAAATTAAGGAATAAGACTTGTTCTAAATTAAAGCTCAAAGCTTTCTCTTTAAGATGATGTATAAAAATTGTTGGGTTGGATTGGAAAAATATTGAGAAAAAAAATTTTGAAATAAAACTTACCCTGTATAATTTACTTTCATAGCAGGATTTTGAATTTCTTTACTATCGTATTTTGCCGTACTTTTCTAAAATAGCCCGTACAAATGACGAATGTAAATGTGAGTTAACCCAAGGATGTTTGCATTTTTCGCAGATGAAATTGCAGTTTGTGTCAGTTTTTTTTTAATTTAGCATGGTAATGAGTAATTGACTCACCTTCATGTTGAACGCACATTGTTAATATGTGTTGTGCTGAATTTTAGTGAAAACTGATCTTCTAAAAGTTTGATGAGCTCTTTGTACTATTTTGATTTAGGTAAGTAAGTTGCACCTATTCTTGTCTTACCAGTTTCTTTCTCAATCTTTGCAATCTTCTTTTTATATGGCCATTCTTTTCTTGCATTTATGTAGTCTCCCACCTTTCTGTCCAGTTTCTTTCATCTTTTCAGGTTTTGTTCAATGTCTTTGTTCTATTACCAGTCTGTTTCCAGTATTACACCTTTCTGTCCAACATCTTTTTCCAATTTACAGTCTCTCTTCACCATCATTTCAGTTTTTTTCTCAGTTTTTCCATTCCTCGTTTTGTATGGCCATCTTTTTCTTGCCTTTATAGTCTTTTTGTAATCTTCCACCTTTGCTGCCCAGTTACTTTTTCCTCTTTTCAGGTTTTGTTTAATGTCTTTCTTCTATTACCAATCTCTTTTCGTTATTACGCCTTTATGCCCAACATCTTTTTTCCTTTTCCAGTCTCTTTTCATTATTATTTTTTGCATTAGTGTTACATCTTTCTGCCCATTCTCATTTTTATCTCTCCAACCTCAATTCTGTCTTTTTCTCAACCTCTCCACTCTTCCTTTTGTACAGCCATCTATTTTAATTGATTAAAAACAAAAAAACGGCTGTTATATTTTGAAATTTTATTTATTATTTACATAAAAATCAATAATTTTATTAGTAAATTTAAAATTTTTAAACAACATTAGTAATCTACTCAACAATTACATAAAAGTCTTTATATTTTTATTATTTATTTTTTTTTTTAATTAAACAAGAGATATAAATCACTCTAAAATGTCTTTCATTTTTATTTAAATACCATTTTATTTGTAAGAAAAAAAAACACGAGCCTTCAATATCTAAAAAAAATCCTTCCACAAAAAAATAAATCTTACAAATTTACACTAACAACTATTAGATTATCCCACTTCTTTCTTCGATCCTTCAATTATTAAAATACTCTTTAGATTTTTTCTTAAACCAATTCGGAACGTATTTCTCGGTATCTCGACTTCTTGGACTCCTCGCCGTCACTCTACCCTCGTTGAAAAAATAACACTTGCAAATACAACACGATGGGAATTTAAACCAATCGGCGAAAACCCCGCGACATTCATTATTGGGGTCATAGGCTAATAATCGGTGGATCCTATATTGTTGTTCGCACCGACAGCCTTCCCGACAATACATTTGTTTATGTTGAAATGTACACATCTCGCAATGAATGTATTGTTCAAACGGATAAATATTGATTAACGCCAAAACTTCACCCCGAGTGTTATTCGCCCAATACGGAGCCACAACTTCTTGTTTAACCGGACAAGCATTTCTAAAAAAAACAAAATTAATAATTAGTTATTAATCGTTTTTGTCACTAGTAGTATAGAAACGCCGATTCTAGACAGGAAGTTGCAAATCCGCACCTCCATGACGTCATTCGCTCAATGTAAAAGTATAGGGAGGGGTGCCAATTAAAGGCTTGGGGGAAAAAATTGGTTGGTGTTGGAAAAGTAACTAGATCTGGTGACTTTTTATCCCTTTGTGTCCCAAAAAGTCAAAAATTTTGAAACTTTGTAACGCCTTTGGAATCAATTTTAGCAAAATATGCAATATATGAGTACCGTCAAGCATTAAAATATATTTTAGTGATATTGCAATATACAAGAACTTTTATTGCTAATATAAAAATAATACATTTTTTATTAGGTTAGAAAATAAGTAACACAAGTGTCAAAAAAGATGCTAATTTAAAAATTCCTGAAAGCCGTATTTAATGAAATTAAGGAATGAGACTTATTCTAAATTAAAGCTCAAAGCTTTCTCTTTAAAATGATGCTCTTTAAAATGATGTATAATAATTGTTGGGTTGGATTGGAAAAAAATTGAGAAAAAAAATGTTGAAACAAAACTTACTTAACTAGTTTAAACGAATTTTTCTAAAAAGTCGCCAGATCTAGTTACTTTTCCAATACCAACCTATTTTTTTCCCCCAAGTCTTTGATTGGCACCCTTCCCTATACTTTTACATTGAGTCCTGTCTAGAATCGACGTTTCTATACTACTGTCACTTACATTCCTTGTCCTTTAAATGAGTTAATTTTCTTTTGATTTGTATCTTGAAACAACATGGTACTAGTGCTGGCTTTTCGCTTTTCGGGTTGTTCCGTTGTTGTTTCTTCAAACGTTATGGTGCTTTCAGTTTCGGTCGTTATGGTACTCGTGGTTCTTTCCGTACTGTTTTCGGTGTTATTTTGAACATCTTCGACTTCATAAAAATAATAAGTGGCGTTGTAGCTGTCGGTTATTGAAATTTTTGAGGTTTCTTCATCGGTCGTTCGTTTTAAATTAAGATTTTCCGTTGTCGACATGGTCGTAGTCGCCGTTTTGTTATTATTATTATTATTAGTTTTATTCATTAAATCGCCATATTTAACACTCATCTCGGGAAAAACAAATTTAGTATTCATAACATCATCGTTCTTCTTTGCCTCTTCACCATGCATCATCGATTTTAACGAATCTTGAAGTAACTCATTATCTAAATCTAAGCTTTTTGAGTATCGGCTTTTAAAATCTCCGTTGAAATATAAATCTTCGTTGTTGTTGTTGTTGTTGTCATCTTGATAACTTTCTAGGATATCATTCGAAAGTAATTCAGCCTCAATTACTGATCTTTGCAATTGATCGCCGTACATTCGTTTCATTAAGCCTTGATTTTCACGCACGAAATGTCTAACGGCGTTCCAAGGATATGTTGTGCCTGCTTTCGTGCAAAATGATTCTACCGATAAATCACAAGGGGGTTTTAACATTCTTGATGATTTATATCTTCTCCCACATGCTTCTTGTGACGAGGGAATCGATGAATCATAACCACCATAACATAACACGTTCGTTGTTGAGATCTAAAAAGTAAAAAATAATTAAAATAACAAATTAATTTCGAGAAATTCTTTTTTGAAGTTATAAAGGGATGTTTGAGGTTGTATTATACCAAATTTTAAAGTTCCAAAATCAATAATTCGCTTAACATTCACTTTTGAAAATCGCAAATTTAAATTGACATTTATTAAAAGTGAGGGTAAAAAAAAATTCGTCTCTTCAAAACGACTAAGAATTAAGAAACGAAACTTTTTGAGGTTATAAATTAACGTTTGAAGTTATGTTATACCAAATTTGAACTTTCCAGAATGAACCATTCATTTGATATACACGTTTAAAAATCGCTGATAAATTTGACATTTGTTAGAAGTGAGGTTAAAAAAATTTTTTTCTCTCCAAATCGGTTAGGATTTAAGAAATGAAACTTTTTGAACTTATAAAGGGATGTTTGAGGTTGTATTATACCAAATTTTAAAGTTCCAAAATCAATAATTCACTTTACATTCATTTTTGAAAATCGCAAATTTAAATTGACGTTTATTAAAAGTGAGGTTAAAGAAAAAATTTGTTCTCTCCAAAACGACTAGGAATTAAGAAACGAAACTTTTTGAGGTTATAAATTAACGTTTGAAGTTATGTTATACCAAATTTGAACTTTGCAGAATGAACCATTCATTTGATATACACGTTTAAAAATCGCTGATAAATTTGACATTTGTTAGAAGTGAGGTTAAAAAAATTTTTTTCTCCCTAAAACGGTTAGGATTTAAGAAATGAAACTTTTTGAACTTATAAAGGGATGTTTGAGGTTGTATTATACCAAATTTTAAAGTTCCAAAATAAATAATTCGCTTCAAATTCATTTTTGAAAATCGCAAATTTAAATTGACGTTTATTAAAAGTGAGGTTAAAGAAAACATTTGTTCTCTCCAAAACGACTAGGAATTAAGAAACGAAACTTTTTGAGGTTATAAATTAACATTTGAAGTTATGTTATACCAAATTTGAATTTTCCAGAATGAACCATTCGTTTGATATACACGTTTAAAAGTCGCTGATAAATTTGACATTTGTTAGAAGTGAGGTTAAAAAAAAATTTTTCTCCCCAAAACGGTTAGGATTTAAGAAATGAAACTTTTTAAACTTATAAAGGGATGTTCGAGGTTGTATTATACCAAATTTTAAAGTTCCAAAATCAATAATTCACTTTAAATTAATTTTTGAAAATCGCAAATTTAAATTGACGTTTATTAAAAATGAGGTTAAAGAAAAAATTTGTTCTCTCCAAAACGATTAGGAATAAAGAAACGAAACTTTTTGAGGTTATAAATTAACGTTTGAAGTTATGTTATACCAAATTTGAACTTTCCAGAATGAACCATTCATTTGATATACACGTTTAAAAATCGCTGATAAATTTGACATTTATTAGGAGTGAGGTTAAAAAAATTTTTTTCCCTCCAAAACGGTTAGGACTTAAGAAATGAAACTTTTTGAGGTTATGAAGGAATGTTTGAGGTTATACTATGCCAAATTTGAAAGTTCCAAGGTTAATAATTCATTTTATTGACATTTTTGAAAATCGCACATTTGAATTGACGTTTATTAAAAGTGAGATTAAAAAAAAATATTTTTCTCCAAAACGGTTAGGACTTAAGAAATGAAACTTTTTGAGGTTATAAAGGAATGTTTGAAGTTGTATTAAACCAAATTTAAAGTTTCCAGGATGAGCCATTCATTTTATATAACATTTTTGACAATCGCAGATTTAATTTGACATTTGTGGAGAGTGAGGTTAAAAAAAAAGTGTTTTTCTCCAAAACGGTTAGGACTTAAGAAATGAAACTTTTTGAGGTTATAAAGGAATGTTTGAGGTTGTATTATACCAAATTTAAAGTTTCCAGGATAAGTCATTAATTTTATATAACATTTTTGAAAATCGTTGATTCAAATTGACGTTTAAATTGACTGAACAGAAAGATAATGGAACATAATGGGAAGCACATTAAGGCAGATTGGTCGAGAGAAGGGATAAATCATTATAGGGAAATGTTGACAAGCTGGGGCCATGGTGCAGGGTTGAATGAATTGATTAAGGTGGTTAGGAAGGTGCAAGAAAGAGAGTGGGCGACGGGGGGTTAGACTGGGAAGGAACGAATGGTGGGATAGGGAATGCAGAGAGGTGAAGAGAGAAGCTAGAAGCAGATTGAAACAGTGGCAGAAAAGGGAAGTAGGGATAGATAGATATATAGAGGCCAGGAGAAAATACAAAGAAGAATGCAAGAAAAAGGAAAGGGAGGCTGAGAACATTAGGGAGTTGAAAGAGGAAAATGAGGTATGGAGATACTTAAAGAGGATGAGGAAGGGAAGAGAGGAAGTCAGCAGAGATGTACTTAGTACTTCATTTAATTGTTGGGAGGGGTGGATGAGAGAAGAATGGGAGAGTGTGAGCGAGGGGTGCAAGGGGGAGTGGAGATAACAGGGGAAGAAATGAAAGCAGTGTTGAGGGGACACAATGATATACGGCGTAGATCTATGGGGATGGAGAGAACAAGGATTGCTGGACAGTGTACAAACAAGGTATTATATAGGATCATTTCGACAGAAGTGCTACAGATTCTGGGCGACTCCATACCCATGGACTTCATAATCCGTAACAGAGCGATAACTGACGAGGAAAATATGGAAAGGGAGGAGGTAACTCGTTAACCTGGTTAACTCGAAAATGGGGAAACGTTAATTATTATATTAGTTAGGTTAACTCTAGACACGGAAGTTTTAAGACCTATCCAGAGACTCTATCTAATGCTGCGGCAACAGAGACGCCGTGGAACATGCCATCTTCCAATGCCAGAGATGGGAAAGGGAGAGACAGAAACCAACACCCAAATGGGACTAAACATAACACCAACAAATTGCATGAGGGTCATGCTCGAAAGCGAAGAGAAGTGGAAAATAATGGAGAGTTTCTTTAGAGATGTAATAGGGAGTAAAGAGTGGGAGCAGAGAGAAGGAATTCCATAGGCGAAGATAGGGAGATGAAAAAGCGTAGGGGGGGCTTTTCCAATAAAGATGGGGAATCCGAAGCTACGTCTACAAAGCGGATTCCGGAGAAGATGAGCAAAAGAGTTTTTAGTACATTCATACTATCTGGCCGCCTAGCAGCCCAGATCAGATGTCTGCTAGCAGATTTTCCCTGACCTCGTAAAAAAAGGGTATGTAGTGAGAGATGAGGTTAAGATGATGTAGTAAAGGATAGTAGGAAGACAGCATTGCAGGATCCTGGAAGAGTGCTAGCAGGAAATTAAGGAGAGAAGGCTGATATATGGGCAGGGAAATAGGGAAGGATATTATAGAAGAAGAAGAGTGGAGAAAGGTGAATTATAGAGAGAACTGAGGGATAGGCACAAGGTCATACAGAGGCAGGAGAGAAGGTCACAGATACGGGAAGAGAGATACATAGTTAACGGCTTTCTAATCCAACCAAACGCATCCCAACCCAACTTAATCTAAAGCAACGTAACCTAACTCAACGCATAGAAAAGGTCATTTAGACTCCCTCATAGACTACCACATGTATCATAACAGTAGTCACTTTGCTTTGTACGCAAACTTCTGCTGCTGAGATTATTATTAACTTCATAAAGAACAATTTTCAGGTAATTTTTAGTGGTGGAACGGATATCCGGCTATCTTTTAGAATCCGGCCGGATATTAAAAACCTATTAGTACTCCACCATTCACAGGCATTAATATGTCTTTTAGGTGTTGGACACTGCAGATAATAATCAAGTTCAATCCCAATAGGACTATTTCATTGAATACAACTTTATTCATCATTAGCAACCTCATTGTAACAATCCCAATACGATATATAAAATCTTTTGTTGCAGTTTCGTCTAGTTTTCTTCTCTTCGCTTGTAATTCATCATTACATTCAAACTGTCGCTGTGATCACTTTCGATTATAAATTAAAGTATCCGCTTTTTAATGCAAAAAGCCGTTTTGAAAAATCACTTTTAGTTCTAGAGAAATAAATTTTTGAAGTAATCGTAATTTTTTCGAATTTTGCAATTTTCGCCGATTAAATTTTAATAATTCGTATAAAATCGATTAACTGGAATATGAGTATGAAAATTTCCCAAAATGTTAATAAAAGTGTCCTCTTTTCAATGAACCAACCAGTTTTGATAAATAACTTTTAGTTTTTGAAAAAACGATATTTGATGTTTTGATAAAATTTTCAATGTTGCAATTTTCATCGATAATTTTCAAAATTCGTTATAAAATTCATTTCTTGAAGGATCTTTGTGGAAATATCATCAATTATTAATTAAAGTATCCTCTTTTTAATGCAACAAGCCGTTTTGAAAAATCACTTTTAGTTCTTGAGAAATAAATTTTTGATTTTCGAATTTTGCAATTTTCGCCAATTAAGTTTTAAAAATTCGTATAAAATCCATTTCTTGGAATATGAGTATGAAAATTTCCCAAAGTGTTAATAAAAGTGTCCTCTTTCCAATGAACCAACCCGTTTTGAAAAATAACTTTTAGTTTTTGAGAAAACAATATTTGAAGTTTTGATAAAATTTTCGATGTTGCAATTTTCATCGATAATTTTCAAAATTCGCTATGAAATTCATTTCTTGAAGGGTCCTTGTGGAAATATCACCAATTATTAATTAAAGTATCCTCTTTGTAATGCAAAAAGCCATTTTGAAATATCACTTTTAGTTCTTGAGAAATAAATCTTTTCGAATTTTGCAATTTTCGGCGATTAAGTTTTAAAAATTCGTATAAAATCGATTACTTGAAATATTAGTATTAAAATTTCCTAAAATGTTAATAAAAGTGTCCTCTTTCCAATGAACCAATCCGTTTTGAAAAATAACTTTTAGTTTTTAAGAAAACAATATTTAAAATGTTCGATGTTGCAATTTTCATCGATAATTTTCAGAATTCGCTATAAAATTAATTTCTTGAAGGATCCTTGTGGAAATATCACCAGTTATTAATTAAAGTATCCTTTTTTTTTAACGCAACAAGCTGTTTTGAAAAATCACTTTTAGTTCTTGAGAAATAAATTTTTGATTTTCGAATTTTGCAATTTTCGCCAATTAAGTTTTAAAAATTCGTATAAAATCGATTTCTTGAAATATGAGTATGAAAATTTCCCAAAGTGTTAATAAAAGTGTCCTCTTTCCAATGAACCAACCCGTTTTGAAAAATAACTTTTAGTTTTTGAGAAAACAATATTTGAAGTTTTGATAAAATTTTCGATGTTGCAATTTTCATCGATAACTTTCAAAATTCGCTATAAAATTAATTTCTTGAAGGATCCTTGTGGAAATATCACCAATTATTAATTAAAGTATCCTCTTTTTAATGCAACAAGCCGTTTTGAAAAATCACTTTTAGTTCTTGAGAAATAAATTTTTGAAATAATCGACAATTTTTTCGAATTTTGCAATTTTCGCCAATTAAGTTTTAAAAATTCATATAAAATCGATTTCTTGGAATATGAGTATGAAAATTTCCTAAAATGTTAATAAAAGCGTCCTCTTTCCAATGGACCAATCCGTTTTGAAAAATAACTTTTAGTTTTTGAGAAAACAATATTAAAAGTTTTGATAACATTTTTGATGCTTCAATTTTCATCGATAAGTTTCAAAATTCGCTATAAAATTAATTTCTTGAAGGATCCTTGTGGAAGTGTTACCAATTATTAATTAAAGTATCCTCTTTTTAATGCAACAAGCCGTTTTGAAAAATCGCTTTTAGTTTTTTAGAAAACAATTTTTGAAGTTATTAACAATTTTTTCGAATTTTGCAATTTTCGCCGATTAAGTTTTAAAAATTCGTATAAAATCCATTTCTTGGAATATGAGTATGAAAATTTCCCAAAGTGTTAATAAAAGTGTCCTCTTTCCAATGAACCAACCCGTTTTGAAAAATAACTTTTAGTTTTTGAGAAAACAATATTTGAAGTTTTGATAAAATTTTCGATGTTGCAATTTTCATCGATAATTTTCAAAATTCGCTATAAAATTAATTTCTTGAAGGATCCTTGTGGAAATATCACCAATTATTAATTAAAGTATCCTCTTTTTAATGCAAAAAGCCGTTTTGAAAAATCACTTTTAGTTCTTGAGAAATAAATTTTTGAAATGATCGACAATTTTTTCGAATTTTGCAATTTTCGCCGATTAAGTTTTAAAAATTCGTATAAAATCCATTTCTTGGAATATGAGTATGAAAATTTCCCAAAGTGTTAATAAAAGTGTGCTCTTTCCAATGAACCAACACGTTTTGAAAAATAGCATTTAGTTTTTGAGAAAATAATATTTAAAGTTTTGATAAAATTTTCGTTATAAAATTAATTTCTTGAGGGATCCTTCTGGAATAATCGCCAATTATTAATTAAGGTATCCTCTTTTTAGAGTAGCTTCGTTAGTTAAATCAGCATCAAAAAAGTTCATTTTGTATCTTGGATCCAAATAAGTCGACATATCTTCTCAGCTTTCTTATTAATTTCATTTTTATTCAAATATCGCAATAATGTAACAATGTAGGGTATCACGTCAGAAATGTACCAGAAATTTTAACCATAATGGCCGGATAGATACAGTAACTCACATAAATGATCGGACACTAAGCTAATTGTAAGATGTTTATTATAGAGAATATGTAAAAAATACTCTTATTAATAAGAAAACAGCGAATTTTAATATTTTGTGGGATTTCCCTTGGCCGATAAAACAGCTGTCAACCTTTTTGGAATCGAGTTGACCAAATTTTGGGTAATTGTAGAGGATACATTCTGGTTTGGAGGATATGGTTCGACGATTTAATTCTTCCCAAAGATGTTCGATTGGGTTTCAAGAAGATCAGGTCATTGTGGAGGTGTTTTAATAGACTTCTCAATCACGTTTTTTGCAAACTTCAAGCGAAGTTTACGATTTCTGTCGTTTATAAAGAATTTTTTTTGAGCACTTCTACCAATACACCCTGCACTTCTAATAACGCGGTGTATGGTTTCATGGTGTACGCATTTTTCTCCATTACTTTCTAAATTAGCCCTCAAATGAGGATTCTTTTTAATTTCTCGAAATTTCTTGAAATCAATCAAAATCTTCAAAATCTTTGAGCGCTTTATAATGTCATGTACTTTTGATCGACTAATCTTCACAAATTTAGAAACTTCCATAAACCAATTTTCTTATTTGAATGGTCGTTTCTGTTCTTTTCGGTACCATTGTTCCAAAGATACAAATAATATTGTTGTCTTCATACAAACTTTGTATTTGACATGTATTGTAACTTTACAGAAAATTTTACTAAATTATTCAAGGAAATGTCTCTAACAATAAGAATATACTAAATACACTAGTAATTTTAAACTTCTTTTTAGATCTTGTATTCAATTAAAACCGTACAATCTTATTAATCATTCCAAATTAATACGTCAAAAAATTTTAGGTTAAGTTTTGACAGATAAACGTCAAAACATTTATGTTAGGTTATGAATTATTTGATTTCTTAATAACAATCGTTGGGATTAATGAGTGTTGTTTAAACATTAACAAAAAAAAGAATAAAACGAGGAAGAAAAAAATTATTCTGTAGACGGTTTCTTTTTAACTGTCTGCTGTCGTCTGTGTGTTAAAGTTGTTCTTGTGTGCGTGCGGCTGGTTCTAATGTGGGTCAGTGGAGTAACGTCGTTCTGTTATAACTATTGCTTTCACGATCGCGCCTCAGCTGCCCGTCTTTCCGTTCTTTCTTCGTTCCGTTCATTCGCGTGTCTTCTACATTAACAACTTTACTATTTAGGTATTTTATCCTCCTTTTATTTCTTAATTCCTTCCAATTATTCCTATTTAATTATTTATCCATCAATTTCTTAATTATTTATTCCCATCTCATTAAAAATCGTTTTAAAACACGTTATTATTATTAATAATTACGAAACGTCAAAAGTGACATTTTTTAGGTTAAGTTGACATAACCTAAAATTACAAATTTGACGTTTAAATCTGTCAATCTTTTTATTCGATTTTAAATAACGATTTTTTTGTTAAAGAAAGTTGTTAGAGACGACAGGTGGTGTTAAATTTCTCTTTTGAACATTAAAACGTTTTAAATCGACCGCATTACGTTGGGCGAGGACGTTATGATTATCTTGTTGAAGAAGAAGTAACCTTCACCACTTTCCTTTCACTTCTTATCGACTTTCTAGAAAGAAGATTTTCCAAGACTTTCACGAGAAATTTCTTAAAATTAACGATTCTCACGCATTTATCGAATATCTTCTTTTATAATTTTAATAAATTTCATTTTAAGGAGGAACGAGAATTATCATCCGACGCATCTTCTTTTTCACGGACAAAGAGGACGAAGAGAGGAGTGAGAAATAACGAAGAAGAAGGAGATTAACACAGTCTCGCATAACGGACCACCCTTTATATAGTAAATACTCTGTTAAATGCGGCGAAATTGCGATGAGACCGTGTGAAATCCTCATCCTCAACCTCTGGGGGCCACTGGGACGCTAAACTTCACCTTACAGCCTCTTCACAATGAACACGATGAGAACCGAATCGTTCAAAAAGATTCAAATCACGAATTTTAAATGTCAAATTTATAAATGACGTTTTAAACGTCAAATTTTTTTTTTGATGAAGAGATTTAATAGGGAATGCATAGAAAGTATCTTAAGAATATAAATAAGCTCATTTGCATGTGGATAATCTCTCTAATAATTTAAGGTGAGTAACCAAAAAGAAAAATTAATTTTTGGATTAGAAAGTTTTATCATCACGATTTCACTTTTTTTATTACCAATATAAAAGAATAAAATAAAACTAAATAATTACTTACAACGATTAGAAATAAAATAACCATCCCCATGGTTTTTCTTTTCACTTTACAACAACCGTTCATTATAAATTAATTAATTAATTAAGTTTATTTAAATTAAATTCGCACACCGACACGAAACGATTTTACATCGCGATTTATTCTTAGGATCGTTCCAACGTCGGTCGTCGTCTAGCCTCGATGGTAAAGAGGTTTCTACTGTCAAGTTCTTCCTCAACATTGGCCGCGGCAGCGTCGATTTGGCTCGTTGGCTAAGGAAAAAGTTCGAACCAATGTAGGCTACTCGCAAAGATGGGTTGGTGTTGGTAACCCAAAGACTTAAAAAGCCGTTTCAAACTCATTCGACGAGGCTCTCAACAACTAATTAACTATTTTTTATTTTTAATTTATCTCGAAATATCGTCTCTTAAAATTAGAATTAATTGGTAAAATCAAATTTGATCATATTAATCCTTAAAAACTAAAAAAAATTAATAATTTTTTAGATTCAACCTAAAAAATTTGACGTTTTAAAATAATTTGTCAATTTTTAATTTTGTTGGGTAGGCAACCAAATTAACTTCATTCCTTTAAAATAAATTAATAACATTATCCAGAAGATAACCAAGCTATTGGAGTTCCGATATGTCAAAAGTACCTGGTCTGATTGATTTCTGTCTGAAATTACTTGAAAATATACTACTTAGATAGAGATACCATCACACTAATGGATAGATACCTTTTCTTAGTAGCCAGGTTCGTCTAGATATTTATCCATTTCTTTTTTAACACTGTCGCTTGTGTCCTTGTTTCATCGTTGTATTTCAGAACATATTTTTAAAATTTCCTGAAAAAAGGTATTAAAGAAAACACTGTCAAATTTGCAAAATAAAATGACGTCATATTTTCAAAAAATCATATCATCTTTATTTTTAATGGTAATGGTATGATGTATATGATAAATTGAAGCTTGGAGATCCTAGTTTATGATATGATATAAAAACTATATGATAATATTAATAAAATTTCCTAAAAAAAGGTATTAAAGAAAACACTGTCAAATTTGCAAAACAAAATGACATCATATTTTCAAAAAATCGTATTATCTCTATTTTTTATGGTAATGATATGATGTATATGTTAAATTAATGCTTGGAGATTCTAGTTTATGATATGATATAAAAACTATATGATAATATTAATAAAATTTCCTGAAAAAAGGTATTAAAGAAAACACTGTTAAATTTGCAAAATAAAATGACGTCATATTTTCAAAAAATCATATCATCTCTATTTTTAATGGTAATGATATGATGTATATGTTCAATTAATGCTTGGAGATTTTAGTTTATGATATGATATAAAAACTGTATGATAATATTAATAAAATTTCCTGAAAAAAGGTATTAAAGAAAATACTGTCAAATTTGGAAATATAAAATGACATATTTTCAAAAAACTGTATCATCTCTATTTTTAATGGTAATGATATGATGTATATGTTAAATTAATGCTTGGAGATTTTAGTTTATGATATGATATAAAAACTATATGATAATATTAATAAAATTTCCTGAAAAAAGGTATTAAAGAAAACACTGTCAAATTTGAAAAATAAAATGACGTCATATTTTCAAAAAATCATATCATCTCTATTTTTAATAGTAATGATATGATGTGTATGTTAAATTAATGCTTGGAGATTCTAGTTTATGATATGATATAAAAACTATATGATAATATTAATAAAATTTCTTGAAAAAGGTATTAAAGAAAACTGTCAAATTTGCAAATATAAAATGACATCATATTTTCAAAAAATCATATCATCTCTATTTTTAATGGTAATGATATGATGTATATGTTAAATTAATGCTTGGATTTCCTAGTTTATGATATGATATAAAAACTATATGATAATATTAATAAAATTTCCTGAAAAAAGGTATTAGAGAAAACATTGTCAAATTTGCAAAATAAAATGACGTCATATTTTCAAGAAATCATATCATCTCTATTTTTAATGGTAATGATATGATGTATATGTTAAATTGAAGCTTGGCGATCCTAGTCTATGATATGATATAAAAACTATATGATAATATTAATAAAATTTCTTGAAAAGAGGTATTAGAGAAAACACTGTCAAATTTGCAAAATAAAATGACGTCATATTTTCAAAAAATCGTATCATCTCTATTTTTAATGGTAATGATATGATGTATATGTTAAATTAATGCTTGGAGATTCTAGTTTATGATATGATATAAAAACTATATGATAATGTTAATAAAATTTCTTGAAAAAAGGTATTAAAGAAAACACTGTCAAATTTGCAAAATAAAATGACGTCATATTTTCAAAAAATTATATCATCTCTATTTTTGGTGGTAATGATATGATGTATATGTTAAATTAATGCTTGGAGATTCTAGTTTATGATATGATATAAAAACTGTATGATAATATTAATAAAATTTCCTGAAAACAGGTATTAAAGAAAACTGTCAAATTTGCAAATATAAAATGAGGTCATATATTCAAAAAATCATATTATCTCTATTTTTAATGATAATGATATGATGTATATGTTAAATTGAAGCTTGGAGATTTTAGTTTATGATATGATATAAAAACTATATGATAATATTAATAAAATTTCCTGAAAAAAGGTATTAAAGAAAGCACTGTCAAATTTGCAAAATAAAATGACATCATATTTTCAAAAAATCATATCATCTCTATTTTTAATGGTAATGATATGATGTATATGTTAAATTAATGCTTGGATTTCCTAGTTTATGATATGATATAAAAACTATATGATAATATTAATAAAATTTCTTGAAAAAAGGTATTAGAGAAAACACTGTCAAATTTGCAAAATAAAATGACGTCATATTTTCAAAAAATCATATCATCTCTATTTTTAATAGTAATGATATGATGTATATGTTAAATTAATGCTTGAAGATTCTAGTTTGTGATATGATATAAAAACTATATGATAATATTAATAAAATTTCCTGAAAAAAGGTATTAGAGAAAACATTGTCAAATTTGCAAAATAAAATGACGTCATATTTTCAAAAAATCGTATCATCTTTATTTTTAATGGTAATGATATGATGTATATGTTAAATTGAAGCTTGGAGATCCTAGTTTATGATATGATATAAAACTATATGATAATATTAATAATATTTCCTGAAAAAACGTATTAAAGAGAACACTGTCAAATTTGCAAATATAAAATGACGTCATATTTTAAAAAAATCATATCATCTCTATTTTTAATGCTAATGATATGATGTATATGTTAAATTAATGCTTGGAGATTCTAGTTTTTGATATGATATAAAAGCTGTATGATAATATTAATAAAATTTCCTGAAAAAAGATATTAAAGAAAACACTGTCAAACTTGCAAATATAAAATGACATATTTTCAAAAAACCGTATCATCTCTATTTTTAATGGTAATGATATGATGTATATGTTAAATTAATGATTGGAGATTTTAGTTTATGATATGATACAAGAACTATATGATAATATTAACAAAATTTCCTGAAAAAAGGTATTAAAGAAAACACTGTCAAATTTGCAAATATAAAATGACATCATATTTTCAAAAAATCATATCATCTCTATTTTTAATGGTAATTATATGATGTATATGTTAAATTGAAGCTTGGAGATTCTAGTTTATGATATGATATAAAAACTATATGATAATATTAATAAAATTTCCTGAAAAAAGGTATTAAAGAAAACACTGTCAAATTTGCAAAATAAAATGACGTCATATTTTCAAAAAATCATATCTCTATTTGTAATGGTAATGATATGATGTATATGTTAAATTAATGCTTGGAGATTGCAGTTTATGATATGATATAAAAACTGTATGATAATATTAAGAAAGTTTCCTGAAAAAACGGTATTAAAGAAAACACTGTCAAACTTGCAAATATAAAATGACATAATATTTTCAAAAAATTATGTCATCTCTATTTTTGGTGGTAATGATATGATGTGTATGTTAAATTGAAGCTTAGAGATTCTAGTTCATGATATGATATAAAAAACTATGTTAATATTAATAAAATTTCCTGAAAGAAGGTATTAAAGAAAACACTGTCAAATTTGCAAAATAAAATGACATATTTTCAAAAAACTGTATCATCTCTATTTTTAATGGGAATGATATGATGTATATGTTAAATTAATGCTTGAAGATTCTAGTTTATGATATAATATAAAAACTATATGATAATATTAATAAAATTTCCTGAAAAACGGTATTAAAGAAAACACTGTCAAACTTGCAAATATAAAATGCCATCATATTTTCAAAAAATTGTATCGTCTATATTTTTAATGATAATGATATGATGTATATGTTAAATTGAAGCTTGGAGATTCTAGTTTATGATATGATATAAAAACTATATGATAATATTAAGAAAATTTCCTGAAAAAAGGTATTAAAGAAAACACATATTTTCAAATAATCATATCATCTCTATTTTTTCAAAATTAAGGTTGACATTTTAAACCTGAAGTTAGTTATCATATAATAGAAGTTTTATAACTGAAGTTAATCTAGTGTTAGTCACTTTTCCGCACTTTCTTTTTATTTTTAACGTGTTTTTTGGGTCATCAAAAGAGCGTTCTTAAATTTTAACCTGTAAACTTGTAACACTTCGTCCTTAATTTCATTGTACAACTTTTTAAACTTTAATTTTGTAAATTAGTACAATCGCTTGAGAGTGACGCAACAGGGAGTATATTATCGCTCTATAATAAGTTGCCTTCGAATGTCAGAACTTTAAATCCTATTAAATTTAATAAAACAGTTAAAGAAGCTAAAAGAAATGCTTCTATAGGACTGATGAAAAAAATGTTATCAAATAAGAATACTTCGTTAGCCGCGGAATTATATTGCACAAGGTATTCGGAAAGAAGCCAGCAGAAAATGTAATGGATTTTTGGTCCTTCACGAAACTACGTGCAAAAGCATACAAAATGACCTGCAGAAGGATGAACAACAGACGTTTGATCCAAAAGCTGCTATAACATTTAACTAAAATAACAATAAAACTTATCACTATTATTTAATTTATTATTATTAATCCAAAAAGTAAACATCAAATTAACAGTTCGTCTTTTTGATATTTTAAGAACTACACGTGGTGTACAAACTGACCAAGGATCGATTCAAAAACGGCTGTTTTTCGGGATTCGACGTCGATATCTNCTTGAGAGTGACGCAACAGGGAGTATATTATCGCTCTATAATAAGTTGCCTTCGAATGTCAGAACTTTAAATCCTATTAAATTTAATAAAACAGTTAAAGAAGCTAAAAGAAATGCTTCTATACGACTGATGAAAAAAATGTTATCAAATAAGAATACTTCGTTAGCCGCGGAATTATATTGCACAAGGTATTCGGAAAGAAGCCAGAAGAAAATTTAATGGATTTTTGGTCCTTCACGAAACTACGTGCAAAAGCATACAAAATGACCTGCAGAAGGATAAAGTCAACAAGACGTCTGATCCAAAAGCTGCTATAACATTTAACTAAAATAACAATAAAACTTATCACTATTATTTAATTTATTATTATTAATCCAAAAAGTAAACATCAAATTAACAGTTCGTCTTTTTGATATTTTAAGAACTACACGTGGTGTACAAACTGACCAAGGATCGATTCAAAAACGGCTGTTTTTCGGGATTCGACGTCGATATCTTCTTGTATTCGTCCTCCAAAAGATCGAGCCGTTGCTTCCCGCGTCTCACCATCCTCTTCATTCGATGCAAAATCGATCTCATCCGACGAATACCCTTCACCCGTTTCTGATGTCTCTTCTCCCTGAACATTTGTAGTTGCCACGTTGCTTCGTACATTTTCTTTTTTTGCTTAAAGTGTTTTGAATTCATGTTCGCTTGTTGTTTCATGTGGAAATGGTTATTTTAATACTTTAAATTTTGAATTTGACGTTAATGTATTTTCTAACTTGATTTGATTAAAATTATTTTTTTTTAATACGTAGGCAACTTATTTAACCTTTCATGTTATGTTCGAAAACGTCAAGATTAAAAAAAATCGTCTTCGCTTCATTTTTGGGAGTTAAGAAACGATTTATATCACAAATTGAAGATAAAAGATGATATTTTATGATTTGATAAAAAAATTGCAGTGTTAATAATAAAAATTTGTGGAAAAAATCTCTAAAAGGAATTAAGTTGAATTAGGTTATGTTCGAAAACGTCAAAATTAAAAAAAATCGTCTTCGCTTTATTTTTGGGAGTTAAGAAACGATTTATATCATAAATTGAAGATAAAAGATGATATTTTATGATTTGATGAAAAAATTGCAGTGTTAATAATAAAAATTTGTGGAGAAAAGCTGCTTAAAAGGAATGAAGTTAAATTGGGTTGTGTTCGAAAACGTCAAAATTAAAAAAAATCGTCTTTGCTTTATTTTTGGGAGTTAAAAAACGATTTATATCACAAATTGAAGATAAAAGATGATATTTTATGATTTGATAAAAAAATTGCAGTGTTGATAATAAAAATTTGTGGAGAAAAGCTTTTTAAAAGGAATTAAGTTATGTTCGAAAACGTCAAAATTAAAAAAAATCGTCTTCGCTTTATTTTTGGGAATTAAGAAACGATTTATATCACAAATTGAAGATAAAAGATGATATTTTATGATTTGATAAAAAAATTGCAGTGTTAATAAT